TCACTACTAATATGCAGAATGACATGATGGCTGTTGGAGTGGACACTTTTCTTACCCGTGCACTGTTCAAGTTGCAGGTGATATTCTATTATGAATTAGATATAAAGCTGACAGACATTTTCAGTAACGTTTTATGCCATTTTCATTTATAAACTAAAGGTCTAAATTATATTACATCATTTCAGTTGCAAATTTTCCTTATTTTGTAATAATGTTGTATTTGTTTATTTATTTTTCATTTATCACTTTATATATATATATATAATTTTTTTTCCATGAAATCCCCCCCCCCCCTCCCTCCTTAAAGAAAGGGTTTGGTTCTTCCAACTTGTGTGTCTACTCTCCTTTTTTATGACAGTTATTGCTAGTTTTTATAATAACTATCATTATCATCTACATGCCCATTAGCTTTTTATGTTTCTTTTTATTTTATTTTATTTATTTATTTTTTTTTTTTTATTGTTGCTATTAATTTTTCCATTCTTTTATAAATGAAAGTAATTAAAGTATGAACTCGGTTCCAAGCACTCCAACTCTGTCATGCAATTGATAGATTTGGAAAATATCTCGATTAACATTTTTGGAAAAAAAAAAAAAAAGATTCAGCAGAGTTACCGCTTGGCTTCCAATTAGCCAAGAGTCATGTCATGAGACTTTTCCGTACCCATGGAATAGTAGATTAACCTAATAAAATAACACAAAAAAAAAGAAAAGAAAAGGAAAGTTGGTGTTTGACCATGATAGCTAACAACACAGACGCCATTGAGGTAAGTCCCAGTGTTGTGGCAATGCCTGCCTTACCTGCTGTCGTGCTGCTTAAACATAGCGTAACAAAACACGTCTTGCATGCCGTTCCAGTACATGTTGTGGTCATCTTTAGCTTCTTTGGAAATTGGTTCCTTCATTATCAAAGTGTGCTTAATTACTTGTTTGATTTTATGGTATTGTAGAATTTTGTGTGTATGTATGTGTACATCCATATGTGTGTGTGTGTGTGTGTGTATGTGTGTGTGTGTTTGTGTGTGTCTGTCTCTGTCTCTGTGTCTGTCTGTATCTGTGTCTGGGTGTCTGACTGACTGACTCTTTCCATTTACATGTCTGACTGATTTTGTCTGTCTATTTCTGTCTGTGTTTCTTTCTAATGTGTCTTGAGTGTCTGTGTCTGTGTCTGTGTCTGTGTCTGTGTCTGTGTCTGTGTCTGTGTCTGTGTCTGTGTCTGTGTCTGTGTCTGTGTCTGTGTCTGTGTCTGTGTCTGTGTCTGTGTCTGTGTCTGTGTCTGTGTCTGTGTCTGTGTCTGTGTCTGTGTCTGTGTCTGTGTCTGTGTCTGTGTCTGTGTCTGTGTCTGTGTCTGTGTCTGTGTCTGTGTCTGTGTCTGTGTCTGTGTCTGTGTCTGTGTCTGTGTCTGTGTCTGTGTCTGTGTCTGTGTCTGTGTCTGTGTCTGTGTCTGTGTCTGTGTCTGTGTCTGTGTCTGTGTCTGTGTCTGTGTCTGTGTCTGTGTCTGTGTCTGTGTCTGTGTCTGTGTCTGTGTCTGTGTCTGTGTCTGTGTCTGTGTCTGTGTCTGTGTCTGTGTCTGTGTCTGTGTCTGTGTCTGTGTCTGTGTCTGTGTCTGTGTCTGTGTCTGTGTCTGTGTCTGTGTCTGTCTCTGTGTCTGTGTCTGTGTCTCTGTGTCTGGGTGTCTGACTGACTGACTCTTTCCATTTACATGTCTGACTGATTTTGTCTGTCTATTTCTGTCTGTGTTTCTTTCTAATGTGTCTTGAGTGTCTGTTGTGTCCTTATCAATGTGTGAGTGTGTGTGTGTGAGCTCATGTAGTGTGTATGTGTGTGTGCGTGTGTGTGTGTGTAGTGCATGCATGTCTGCATGCATGGGTGTGTGCATGCATGTGTTTGTGTGTGTGCGTGTGTGTATGTGTACGTGTACATGTGCGTGTTGATGTAATTCATGTTCATATACAAACATACATGCATACATATACCTACATAGATATAATTTTTTGCACATAGAATACACACTCTCAGTTGCAAACATACAGTAACTGCACACACCTAGACTCATATCCATATGCACCCCCTCCACACACACACACACACATACACGCACATGCACACACACATGCACATAGTCATGAACTCCTATACACAGTTTGTGTATTTAACTAGAATGAAGTTAATTTTGATTATAGGTTCATTTCTGTTATAGATCTTGTAATTTTGTTTATGACTTGGTAGATGTAGCATTGCATGTTCTATGATCAAGGCATCCCAAGTCCTTCAACAAGAAATGTGTTCCTCAGTGAATGATGAAATAATTTTTTAGCAAAATTTTGTCACCGTCTTCTTGTATTTTATGTTTTGCTGTAATATGAACACTTTGGGCTGTTAAGGTAATTTCAATACCTGTGTCTGATTCATATTTTAAATTCAAAGTTTTGATATGCCTTCCCCAAATCCTGTTGAATGTTGCCTGTAGGTTTTACAGTGTAGATCTAGAAGCCACCAAATACACCTTGAAGGTTTAAACATCAAAACACGAAGACTCCTATACTGACTGTCCTAGAGTGGGATGCAGGGATTATGATAGGGAAGAATGAAGTATAGATTGTGGTTGATCTGGTTATATATATGACTATATATTTGTAAAATTGAAATGGTTCCATTGTGACTGCTGTTCTGCTGTTGTTTTACTTCTCCAACCTTTATTTTGTTTAATTTTTTTTTTATGTTCATTCGTAATATAGAGGATTAATGCTCTCTTTTATATTTTATTGTTCTAGTTTGTCAAAAGTTTGTGCTTATGAAGTCACTAATGCATTTAGCACAGATAATTAAATGGTGTATCTTTCCTCAAATATCCCTGTTACCATGGATGGATTGTCAGTAAAGATTATCTTCACAAGCATGTGGATAAATCTTTATTGAGATCCTGAGATTAGACAAGTAATGTTTAAAAGTTATTTCCCTTGTTCCTTTACCCAAAATATTGCAGCTGGTTGGAGAGTTAAGACGTGCTAATGCTGGCTTTTTAGAGTGTGTCTGGCAGTAGACAGGCATTGCCACTCCTCGGACGGACAGTATAAGGGTAGTCATCCGCTCTGAGAGCAGGGCTTCTCTTTTCTATTGTTAAATTTTAAAATGTAATTGTGATATGGTCAGAAAAATAAGGATGCAATTTGAGAGACGTAATCAGATAACAAATAAAACAGTTCATTGAGAAAAGTCATAAGTTGATTTGACTACATGCATGAATTTCAGATCTTAGAGATATTCTTTGGGGTGTCTTAGATTGTTTTTATTTTTTTGTAAAGCTTCAGAGAAATACTGAAATAGGTCAAAGTAGTTATTTGTTGGTTCCAAACTCTCTGTACCTGTAATGTAAGTAGACTCAGCTGTGCATTTGCTCACATCAGTCTTTAAGTTAAATGCACACAGTGTCCTTTAATGGAAAGCATCTTTACTGTCAGATGTTATGATTGATAAAGGACCAGCAGGCAGTAACTTAGTTATCTCTTTCAAATTCCACTTTTGCATTATACCATATTGTTTTGAAGTGGTGTGTAGTTGTGTGAGGTTTTCCACACACAAAGATGGATAGCACCTGTTATTTTTATCAGCTGATGATTTTTTGCTCTTGAATGGAAAAACTAAAGTATATTTATCTGTGACTGTGTTTTAGTCTCTCTAATGAAATTATTATTTCATTATATCTGTATCAGTAGAATTTCCTTTTCTTTGTTTTTTTTTAAACTTTTGTTTCAGTGTGATTATGGTGTTTCCATCCTTCAGTATAAGTTTCCATGTTTTATTTTATTACAAAATTTCTGAAAAAAATATGTTTTGTTATGTTTTATTTTTTTTTTTCCAGTTGTGCCTTGTCATTAACTTAGTTGTCCGTTTTGTATTCAGGATTTTAAAAAAAAATGTATGCATTTACATTTGCCAACATCTGATTGGAATATATGCATGTTACTATGTTACTTTACCATTTGTATATTGTATTTCATTTTATTTTGTTTTTTTCCCCCCTCTGGTTGGAGTTAATTTGTGAGACAGTATTTTAGGTTTATTTTTGGTTTCATGGTTGTTATTAAATTTCATTATTGGTGATTATGCCCTACAGATTGATGTTTCTGTTGAACTTTTCAATCAGTACAAATTCTGAAAGAAAAAAGGAACTGGTGCTAATACATTGTATATATACACACACAAATGGTTTTTAAGGGACAATGCATGAAGCCAAGCCTTGGTGTCTTGCTTATATTGATAGTATTGGTTTATAGGGATTTCAGTAGAAGGATTTGCATTTATTTTACTTATTTTTTATTTGTTTTATTATTTTTATTATCATTATTATTTTATTGCTTTGCAAGCAAGATCAATATATTTTAGATTCATCTTGTATTCGTGTTGTCAAATATGTATATATATATATATATATATATATATATATATATATATATATATATATATATATATATATATATATATATATATATATTTATATATATATATATATATATTTATATATATATATATATATATATATATATATATATATATATATATATATATATATATATATATATATATATATATTTATATATTTATATATTTATATATTTATGTATATACATATTTATATATTTATATATATACATATTTATATATATACATATTAATATATACACATATTTATATATATATATATATATATATATATATATATATATATATATATATATATATATATATATATATATATATATATGATATAAGGGTTTTTGTTAGAAGTGATGTTACCTGGTATTAAATTGTTTTGCTGTTACACCTATAAAAGAATCATTCTGATATTTATTAGGTTATTCAAAATATTTTAAAGTGACATAGGTAATAGTTCAATCTTAGAACCAAAATTGTTAATGCAGACTTCAAGAGAGATTGTCAAACATGTTTTCGCAAACAAGTATGCTCAGCCATTGATTAACGCATCTTTCCTCCAACAGTCACCAATTCTACACAAGTGCAAACGGGAGTCTCACCGGCAGAGGTGACACCACCCAAGGTCAACGATGCAGGCCCAGCACTGGCGTCTCACAGCCTCGCCTCCCCCATTGGGCTGAGTCCAGATGAGCCAGTTGTCAGCTCGCCGTCCATCAATGCCTCGCCTGTAACCTCACCCCTGTCGACACAGAAGGAAAATATACCCATGTCTAATCATGTTAATAACAGGTACTGTATCCAGTAAGGGTATATCCTTTCTGTTGGCTGATAGTTTGATGGCAGCGGTGATTCTTTTGGTGTGATAATTCGTGTTATCTTATTATGATTGGGCTTTATGTTCATTTTGTTCTTTCAGTATAATGCATAGTTTCTTAAAGTGTATTTGAAATTTCTTTATTTCTCTTCAGGGTGGACTCCATTCCTAATGGGCATGACAAGTCAGTTACAGCTGCACGTGTTGGAGAAATGGAAGGGGAATCAAGGAAAAGAAAGTATCCTAGTGACAAGGCCTATTTCATAGCCAAAGAAATTCTAACAACAGAGAGAACTTATAAAAAAGATCTAGAGGTCATTAATATGGTAAGTGATACATTTCATTGAACATTCTTATGTGTATGCATGTGTGTGTATATATATGCATATAAATATGTGTAAGTGCCCAACAGCAATGGGTTAAATGTGTACTAAATGTATATTCAAGCACAGTATTATGTAGTACTATAATGACCTTTACAGATTCTCATCAAAGTAAGGATTTTAGAAAATATTTAAATCCCCCTTTTCCCACACAAATCACTGCTAAATACATAGCCTAGACTAGTGTTAGATTATTAATAGTTAGAACTTTGATTATTTTATTTTTCACACATATCATCATTTCATTTCAGTGGTTACGAGAAGAAGTTGGAAAGGAGGAAGGGATGCCGACAGATATCCTTAATCAACTCTTCCAGCTGATTGACCCAATCTATGAGTTCCACACACAGTTCTTGAAGGAGCTGGACACGCGTTTAGCATTATGGTAATTTCTCCTTTGATTCCCCCCTCCCCCCTCCCCTCCCTGGTTATTTGGACAGAGAATACATAAATGATGTAAAAGCAAATATTCTTCAGTTTCAAAGTTCTAAGATTTGGGCTACTTATCTTTCTCTTTTAGGGATGGTCGTGCAAGTGGATCAAACAAGTTGGAATCTCAGAGAGTGGGTGATATTATGCTGAAAAACATGAATATGCTAGAAGTAAGTATATAATTTCCTTGTGAAGCATTTTTTTCCAGGGCTTATAAAATCACACATTTATGTATTGGAATGATACAGTGAACAGGATAGTATAAAGGTTATCTGAATAAGAATAGTATGAAGTGTGGATCATATCAATGGCAAACCACTTATCTTTAAGAAATACAGAGTATTTTAGGATTTGTTGCCATGGGAAGCAATAGTCCAGCAGTTAATGACATATCTATTTCTCCCTCTCTAGTTGTATGACAAATACCTTAAGAGCCACTACTCAATATTGGAAGGCCTTGAAGCTTCCTTCCGTAAGAACCGACGCTTTGAGCAAGTGTATCGAGACTTTGAAATGCAAAAAGTCTGCTACTTGCCTCTGACGTCATTTATCCTGAAACCTCTTCATCGTCTCCAGCATTATCACTTACTGCTTGACCGTAAGTATTTTATTTTCTGTAAGGGGAGTAATAAGTCCAGAAGTTACATCCAGTCATTGTATTTAATAATACTGTTGATTTTTTGTTATGAATTCTATAAATTGGTTGGAAAATGTGTTTATCTTTTTGATACAGTTGACGTCAGTACTGTTATTGTTGTTATTGATGTTGTCATTATTAAATTGTTATTAAAATCTTAATAACATTAAAGACAATGAAAAAATGCAAAAGACCCTTTCCAAAAGTTGAGGAAAAGGGTAAACAGGTGAGATAGGTAGGACTAATAACCAACTCCTTGGTTACTAAACACTTGTAGAGCCATCTATGTCTAAGTACAATAAATACATTGGGCATGGTATGTATTCTTGCCATACGTGCTGATTGGGTTAAAATGAATGATTTTCTTCTTATGACAGGACTTGTAAAACATTATGGCAGTGCTAATCATCATGACTACCGTGAGTGCATGACAGCCAAAGCCAAGTTGAGTCAAGCTGTGAAAGGCATGGGACCAGCCCTCGCTGCATCTGTGAGTGATAGTTATTTGTTCTTCCTTGTCATTATCTTTAAGTTTCCCTATTTTTGTTAAATGAACTTCAATATTGAAATATGTTGATATTGTAGTGGACTCTATCATGAAGAATAAAATGACGGGGGATAGTCGTATTTTCATGATAAATTTGCGATCAATTATTTTTATTCTCTTTCTTGTCTAAAGGAGAACCTTGTCAAGCTGGTTGAGCTGCAGCGAGATCTGGTGGGAATAGACAACTTAGTACAACCTGGTCGAGAGTTCTTGCGAGAAGGTTGCCTACAAAAGTTGTCTCGGAAAGGATACCAGCAACGCATGTTCTTCCTGGTTAGTGTGCACTCTCATGTTAATCTTTGTTTCTGTATTCTGTAAGATTAATGTTTTTGAATTGTGTTTTATATGTATGTTTCTTGTTATGAATTCAACTTCAAATGAAATTTTTTGATTTATGGAGAGGAAGTTGATGGGAGGTGAGTAGATTTTTTAGCATTTATCAACTTACTTTTTTTTTTCGTCATGATTTCTTTGTTATTTTTAGACAATTGTGAAAATGGGAATATGGAACATTCCATGAGATTACATCGTACAAAGCTCACTAGTACAGAGAATCATTACGTTGACATAGAATAACTACAAAGAAAATCAGTCCTGTTTGTCTCACAGTAATTTGTCGGTCCTTATCCTTGCCCCCTTCTCCTGTCCTTACTCAGGTGAACTTGAAGTTGCTAAGTATTAACATCAGTTTTTGATATATGTATTATGGCATCTGTTTGTTACACAACACAATTTTTAGATGTGAATCTCTCTTCATTTTACTGCAGCAGTCATGTCTCTTTTCCTTGTATTTTCACCCTTGTTGTGGTAAATATTTGGTATTGTTCCTATTCTTCCTGCATGGTTAGAACACAGGATGACTATGATTTGTTTTATTGTTTATTTCTTGTTTTACTAAATAAGGTTTCATAGTATAATTTTCATGCTCAGTGACTGGTAATATGTTGTTACACATTCTTCGTTTCTTGGCATCACTGTGTTTATTTTGCACCATCTCAGCAGTTTGTGGGAAAAACTTCTCACCAGATATTTTACTGAATGTTACTGAAGCTAAGTTATCAGCTTCTAATCTTGCAGAATGTGTGTTCCAACATACAGTTTTTATGTTCTTATAGTCTTTTTAAAGTTGCTGTTTTTCATGTAGGTGTTTGGCAGAACTGTTGAAAATATTTTGCTGTTACATCCCAATTTTACTTGTACTCTACCATGTCCTGTGTGACTTTTAAGATAATACTGTAACCTTGGATAACTGGTTTATGCTGTATATATATCTCCTGTTTCCAAAGGGTAAAATATTTGGTTATTACAGATTCTTAAATCACTTCCCATTTCCCAGCCATCCCCATCTCAAGTCCAGTATTATGATTTTCTTTCTTTTTTTTTTTCTTTTTCTTTTTTCTTTTTTAGGTTATACACTATATACATTGCTAAAGTTCAAACACTGATGGCGAAATAGATCTCTTAAGACAACATGTTTATAACTGAATACAAGAATAGTGTTAAATTTTCCTCTTTTGCTCCATTATTATATACATTTCATAACTTGTCTCGCCAAGTAGAATTTAGGCATTTAGTAATTGTGTTATCTGTTTCTGCCCTATAGTTCAACGATGTCTTGTTGTACACAAATCGCACCACAACCCCAGTGTTGCAGTTTAAGGTGCATGGCCAACTCCCTCTCCGTGGAGTAATGGTCGAAGAAACAGAGAGCCGAATGGGAGCAACTAACTGTTTCACAATCTATGGAGGCAACAGGTAAGGAGTTTTTCTTTTCATGTTCTGGGAGGACTGGGAAAGGGAAAGTGCACATGTTCAAGGGAAGGAAAGTCATATTGAAAACAAGCCTTTTTTATTTTCTGCATTTTGTTTATTGTTTTACATGTGTTAGATTCTTTGACTATACTAGGATTAGATAATTTTATGTGATTTCTAGCGATAACTTGATGGATATCTTAACTAATTGTAGATTTAACCTATATTGATTTGATTTGATTTGATTTTTTTCTAATGGAGCACCAGTTCAGATTTTCTTTTATGAGAAATTCTGAATTTTGATTAAGTAATATGGAAGAGACTGAAGCAACAAAGTGATTTCTTTTATTTCTTTCTAGGGCATTAATGGTAGCTGCAAACAGTGATGAGGATAAAGCCAAATGGCTCGAAGACCTCACTGCAGCCATCAGTCAGGCCAAGTCACGACCTGATGATGCCTTCCATTATCTATCACTTAAGTCCATCAGTAAGTAACATATATTATGTGAACTTTTTCTGTTTTACTTGCTGAAATGTCCCATAATCATTGCAGTTGTTTTTGCCATTATGTATGAATATTCTGATAATCTTTTGTTTTTTTAGGATGGTCCTTTTATGTATAAAGAAAAAAGAATGGAGGAAAAAAAATATTTTTCATTGTAGGTTCCTCTGATGAAGTTCTGGATCGCAGTGAAAGCAGCACACTTGAGGATCCTTTGAGTCCAACTCGAGGACTAGGAGAGAAAGGTGCATCTCCGCAGCAGCGATCCAATACCACCGTCCATGTTTGTTGGCACCGTGCCACCAGTGTGGCGGCAAGAGATTACTCTCTAGCTGTGCAGGTTTGTCAGATTTATTTGTTTGTTTATTTTTTACTTGAAATATCCTTATTTATTTTAATCTTCAGTCATAACACTGTACTTAACTTGTTACATGGATGCAGATAAGTAAAAGATTGCTCTCATTGCAGAACCAACTCAGTGGGTACTTGCTACGCAAGTTCAAGAACAGCATGGGCTGGCAGAAGCTTTGGGTGGTATTCACCAACTTCTGCCTGTTCTTCTACAAGACCTTCCAGGTAAGTGAACTAAAAGTAGGTTTGATTTAATTAAAAAAAAATAAGAATTTGAAGTTTTATGATTTTCTGTATGATGAATTATAAATAAAACAACAAAATGAAAAACAAAAAAAAGACCTTTTCACTATTTTGTTCATTCAAGGTGGGATATAGTAAAAAATGTCTTAACATATTCTTGCATTTTCTTGCTTTTCCTTTTGTTCTTTTATTTACACTTTGTTCATCATATGTCCTGCACTTGTATGATGAAAAATCTCTTCCAGGATGATTTCCCTCTGGCTTCACTTCCATTGCTTGGGTACACTATAACTACACCTGGAGAAGATGACCAAATACAGAAGGAGTTTGTCTTTAAGCTCCAGTTTAAGAACCATGTTTATTTCTTCAGGTATGTTCCATCATGTACTTGTAGTGCTTATTGATACAGGTACATTTCATTGATCAAAATCACTTGCATCTGTAATAACTTTTAATTGCTAACAAAAGATACTCCACATGTCCAGCAGTGTTGTGATCTAATAGTATTTGAAAGTGATTATTTGCTCTGTGTAACATCTTGATGTATAGTGTATTTTGCCAAATTGTAACATTCTCAATATTAACCCAATGCGGACAGGTATGGCATGTATATACATGCCATGCCCACTGTGAGTTTACTTGTTTGATTTTTTTTTTGCATTATGGCTACACTTGTACTAAGTCACCAGTGAGCCAATTAAGAGTACTGCCTGTCTCGCCCGTTTACAATTTTCCTTGATTTGCAAAATTATTTTACCTTATCTTATTTTGCAGTTACTAATGTTTATAACAAAAATATAAAAAATGAGCATACCGTTTTCCCCATTTTTTATTACTCTTCCCCTGTGGCATTGGGTTAAGCGATATTTAGAAAACATTCCAGTTATTTATGATTATGGAGACATAGGGCTCAAGTTAGAAATTTTGAATTGTTATAAGTGTTTAATGCTAATTTCTCTACTTCCCTCCAGAGCGGAATCCGAATTCACTTTCTCTCGCTGGATGGAAGTTATTTCTACAGCTACTCAGAACTCAGCACGGACTCGTCTCTTTAGCCGGAAAGAGAGCGAAAATGAGAGCATTAGGTTGTAATTCCCTAACTGATATTCTCCATTGATCTGATTTCTTTTATTAAAAGGACTTGTGAATTTTTTAAAAAATGTATTTTAGAGGTTTCTTGGTATTGGCAATAATAGAAAGATCTATAAAAGTTGCTCTGAAACATAGCCATGTAAATTCTTCAGTTGAGTAAATATTATATATATATATCTCTTCTGTATAAAAGAAAATGTCTTTACAAAGAAAATATTAGGGCAAATCTTTCCTTTTTCTTTTCTTTTTTTTTCTTTTTTTTTATTTAGATCTCACTTCTTGTTCTTTGTACAAACAGATTAGGACTTAGTAAGTGAATAACAATTAAGCTACTGATACTGAAGACCTAATTCCTGAATAGTCAAATACCAGACCTAAAGAAACTTCAATCCTAGACTTTTCACAGTGCACTATTACTGTACACTGGAGAATTATGGTGTGTTTTTTTTCACTTACTTGTGTAGCAGCAATAAAAAAGAATTTTATGGATGAAAAAAAAAAATACTTTTAAGAGTGACTTAACTGCTGCTAATATTTTCTTCTCTTTAAGCTCTTATCAGTTTTATTGTTATTATTATTATTATTATTTACCAACAGCAGTAACAAGGTGCACTTAATTTTGCATTTGTTCTATAACGAATGCCAACAATTTAGGATGGTGAGAACAAGTCCACACAATAAAAAAAAATGTTACAGAACAACAGTGTAATGAAAAATTATTTTTAAAGATGAAAAAGTTTTTTTAATAGTTTTAAGAAAAAAGTGTACATAATGTATTTTAAAAAATTATGTTATAGGTGAAGGCCTTCTCCCAGAAAAAAAGGATGTTGACAAGTACTTCAAATTTTAAATCATTTTTAAGGATAAGCATCTGTCCTAATATCTATATTATGATTTAGATATGTCATGCCCTTTTCTTTTTTTAATGCAAAAAGGGATAATTATGTTAAACAAATATTAAATGATCAGATGTGTAAAGAAACAAACCTGTTATAACATCTTAAAGTGAAGTGATAGATCAATGCATATCACTCTACATTATTTTTTTAATGTATTCACTCTTACTTCACATGGTGTTGTTAACAGTGAGATGTGTTTTCTCTTTAAAACAGGTTTGATGAAATGGAAGTTGTAGTAGTACACAGTGTGTAATTTTTATGTATAGAGGACCAAGCCATTCAATCTTGACTTAATACACCACTGTATTTTATGAATAAAAACTCTATTATTGCTTAAACATATACTTCATCATATCATATTTTCTATATTTTCATGTGCAGTTTAGGAATATTTACCAACAAGTAAATTTGTTTGAGAGTGCTGTATATGAATTTTAAGGTGCAGTTTTCAATACAAATGTAGAAATAAAAATGATATGTCCATATGACTGGCATACATCATTACCTTGAATCACTTTTGGCAAGAAGGTATATATGTTTCATTAGAGCCTTGATAATAACAGCATAGGTTGTGTACAGATACATTTGCTCAGATGAAAAGCTTGCCAATTCTCATTGTTTCTTTTGGCATATTGTTTTTTTCTATCTAGACCATTGTGTAGATAGGTCATGTCACTGTTTCTTTTATAGATAATATTTAAGTTGTGATTACTATTCTAGGTAGCATTCATACTAATGGAATTACCAGTTTGTATTACCTAACATGTGGAAAATTAGGGATCCTAGTCGATATTAGTCATCTGTATGATATTTTGTGTATTGCTGTAGGGAGATATCACTTATCAGTATCATGGTGTATATCAAAATTATTCAGTTATATAATTGTTACAAAATATTTTTGGTAAAATTTCATTGTAGAGGTTATTTCCTGTACTTTTTTTTGTTTTTGTTTTTTGAAGGGTCCAGTGGGTGTAATAAGCAGTGTGTAAGAAATGTGGTCAAGCCAAACTTAGTGGTTCATCATGTTATTGCTTATTTTTCTTTTTCATTTCTTCTTCATGTTACAAGTATAATTAAAAACAGAAATCATTGAGGCAGTAACAGAAGCACTTTGATAATCTGATATGATACTTGGTGCCATGAGAATGTTAACATCACCTATGTGGGAGTATTTGAAATCGCAATGGTTTCAGAGCTATAAATACTATTATTGTAAAGGAAGGATAATTCTAAAAAGCTTCTGGTAACTTGTCCATAAGTTTTATCAGAATTTAATTTTTTTCCCTCTTTATTCCTGTCAAAAAGTCTAATGCATCTTCCTAATGCATGTTGTGCTCAATCATCCCTGTTAACCTCAGCCTTTTTGTAAAATTTATTCTCTTAATTGCCTTGCCCCTTGCCTTACCACCTAGATCTGTATTATTGCAATAATAAATAAAATGAATAGCTAGTTCACAAAATTTATAGCCTTATATAAATATGAAAGGCAAATGACAACATGATGTGTGTATAGTGTTTATTATATTGTGAATACAGAAGTGAAAGAGAGCACACACAGGCATTGTACACATTAACACAACAATCTCAGAATTATGCCCTGTGGCAAATCCATTCCACAACATTTTTCAATTTTGGAAAATGGTTGAAGGAACCATTCACTAACATTTATTAGTTATATTATATATATATATTTATATATATATGAAACACCACTTTGGAACAGGCAACACATTAGTGTTACCAATGTAAAAGGCATTTTTTTTCTTTTCTTTTTTAACACTTTATTTGGGTATTGTTCTTTCTGCAGTATTTTGTAGTGGATTGTTCTAGTACAAAAAGTTGTGTGAAACAATAGTTGATTCAAGTTGTTCACAAAAGGTCTTGTTCATTAACCACAACAACTGTGAATTTGTTCATATAAGTACAAAAACCAATTAATTCTATTAAACTAGAAATAGTGACAAACAAAAGTTATGTTGGATTCAACCCTGTGGTGGAGTCTCTGCCTGTCTCATTAAGCACAGTATTTAATCAACATATTTATTATAGCTATATAAGAAGGGCAAACACTGACTTTATTTTATTCTAGGACTGAAGGATTTTCTAAGAGCTACAAGCATGGGTAAAACCTGATGTGAAGACGGGTAGTTTGTAAGTGGTCATTACTTCTCTCACATCTACATCCCACTTCCCCATAATATACACCAAACAGGACAGCTCTCATGAAGTACTTTGCATCAAGCTTCACCCAAGGGAAAATATTATTGAGGAAAAAAGTTTGAAAATAGAAGCAAATCATATGTCTCCTCTTGGCTGTATCCAGAATGTAAATATCTGAAAGTTCTATGTTAACTTCCAAGAGGATACGGCAGTCAGTCCTCCAAATATTAGTGCTATGTACAATGAGGATTGAGCAAAGTGTCCTCTCGACACAAACTCGGCCGATGACCTCTTGAAATACATATGTGAAAACTGGGAATTGCCAAATGATATTGCTATGCATACACTTAGCATGCAAGGATTGCAGACACAGGAGGTTTAAGGATACTGACATCCACTCCTGTAACTGTAATGGAAGGAATTGATACAAGTTTGACAAATAGGTCATTTCTAATGATTTTTTTCTTGCTAATCAAATAATAAGCCTCTGAACAAATCTACTATGATACATGTACATACATACATACCGTATATAATCAACTGATCATAACTGAATCACGTTGAGGAGAAAATCACCAATCACTTGTACATATTGTTGAAATATTTACAAATTATATTGTAAATATGTTACTATATCTATAATAATCGTAATCATATTTTTTCTCTCCTTATCAAGAAAATTAACACAAATATTTACAAACCCAGCTCCCTAAGACATGATTTCCTGCTGGAATTACTTAAACCTTATGATCAAAATATTGTTCCAAAAGCTGTGAAAGTGAGCAAGATGATCTAAATGTATTTCTTTTAAATCACCCATCTTATTGTTCAGTGAATTCAATTTGTTCTTTGTACTAAGCATAAAACTAACAAATCAAAAGACAAAGTTTTGGTCCCCTCCATCCATTTGGTCAGGTTGATGTAAGTTTTCTTTAAAGTAAATTGAAATTTTACACTTGAAGGGCATTTCGAATCTTTTTGCCCAATGTTGGAGAGAGGAGAATGCCTCCTCTGGAACCCAATACAGTCCAATAAAATTGCTAATGCCATTGCATTGCTAGCACAGCCTTGTTCATCAGCAAAATAAAAAATACATAAAAATGCCCACTTTCACAGCAAACAATTGTTCTGGAACTCTTCTCATCTAGGATTGAAGAAGAATAGTAGAATCAGATGGGTATGAATAATACACTTGGGATACTACAAAGAGCAAGGAAGGTTGGAACAGAGAGAAAGATGCTTCTTTTGAAGTTCCAGCAATGACAGCAGCTTAGAAATCTTGACTTTAAACACAAGCACCCATTTGCCAACATCTAGGGGGAAGAAGAGGTACCACAAAACATTTTCACAATTACAGCCTTACACAGCAGCCATGTGTATCTTGGATTTCTTCACCAGATCAATCAGTGTCCATATATTCACACAAGACATTCCTTTAACTTGTTAAAATAAAGTTGCAGGTACCATCTCTGTGTCTTAACCCACATAGATGACTGACTGGACTTTGACTGACTGCTGCCTGGCTGGCTGGCCCTCTTATTTATCTAGGAGCTCATCTGTGAGCTTATTTGACTGGTGCAGGATAAGTTGGAGTATTTGGCTGATGGTGGTTGCCTGCTACCCAGGTGCTGAAAACATCTCTGAAAGGATACAAAAATATATATAAGTAATCTGCATTAGCATGCAAAAATACACAAATAGCACATTTGTCAGATTATTATTATTTATTTATTTTTTTTTTTTTTACTGAAAGATACTATAACACATGCAATGAACATTGAAAAGCACATTTACCTGCAATGAGACACAACGCATTCATTGGAGCAGTACTCATCTTCCCATTCTGGGTTGTGTACAGCTGGGTTTGTGCACCCGGACCTGATGCAGTTTGGACCAGAGGTTGGGCAGCCAACATGTCCCTGCTGGCCCTGCTGTTGTCCACCTGAACCCTGCCCGCTTTGTTGCTGCTGCTGTTGTGTCTGTTGTGGAGGCTGCTGCTGCTGAGGAGGCTGCTGTTGTTGACCATGCTGTCCTGCCTGCTGCTGATGTTGCTGCTGCTGTCCTGCCTGCTGCTGTTGCTGTTGGGTAGCAGCCTGCTGTGGTGTCTGCTGGGGCTGGTGCTGCGGCCGACTACCTGGTGAGCCGCCACCACCAGGACTCGTCATGGAGCCAGGTGCTTGCTGCAAGGGTTCAAACACATCAATATGCAAAAATTACATAACGGGGTAAACTTTCAAAACCCCATTTCACTGGATGCCCACTCGTTCAGATATAGTAATAGGAAACCACAATTACAGTCATGCATATTCCCTTAACATACACATGGCATTATGCACATCTCAAATACAGTACTATAACCCAATATTAGATTGTTGTTACATCGCATACCTTCTGAATATCTACTATATCATATTACATAATCTGTGTTTATTATTACTTCTTACTATGTAGCAGGTTAGTAATGTAAGCTAAAGCAATGAGCCAGCAGGTTAAGTGGCAGGACAATGCAATACCTGATTCATGTAGGGAGAGGTGGTAGGTACGTTGGTCATGGGCGTCAGGTGGGACTGTGGTGTAGGCGGCTGGTGGGCAGCCTGTGGGCCCTGCTGAGCCTGGGGAGCCATGCTGGCTGCTGACATGGGTGGCATAGAACCATGGGGCATCATAGGTGGGCCAGAAGGTGGCATGGGCTGTGACATGGGAGGGGTCATCATGGGTGGGGGAGGGTCGGCCATGAGGGAGGAGAGTAGAGGAGACTTCTTGGCCAGTGGTGACATCTGTGTGGAGGACTGAACCTGGGGGTGGCCAGGGGCGCTAGTAGTGGGGGGGTAGCCAAACCCAGGGGCAAACTGGCCATACCCAGGAGCGCCATACACCCCTTCACCCTCACCACCCTGTAACACAAGCCAGGAGTCAGGCCTCACTACCAGTGGCGTATAGCAATGGTTATGCTGGTTAATATAGCTTAAGCAAGCTCTCATGCACTTATCAATGTTAGAATGAAGTTGTTATGGATTACAGATAAACAAACACTCCACAGAGGCAAATAAAATCAGCTTGACTGGTCATGATTATGCATTAAAACAAATTTCCTTTCCGTTAATCTAAGCGCCAAGCCCCAGTCACAAACAGCGAAATCCTGACTGCACTCTCTCTGCGCCTTACCTTCGAGACTAAACTGGCGCGATAAGCTGCGAGAGCTTTGAGGTATTCCTTCTTGGCCGCTTCGGTTTTCTTCTTGTACACGTTCTTGTGGTCGGCGTCGAGCGAGTCCCACATGGAGGCGACGATCTTGGACACCTCCCCGAAGGACGCGTTGGGGTTGGAGCCTTTGATGGCGGCCTGGGTGTCACGGAAGAACAAAGCGTAAGCGGACACAGGCCTAGAAAGAGAGAGAAAAAATATTATTAGTTATTGGCTACCCAAGATCAATGCCATTACATGAACAAGAAGAATAAGAGGAAATAATTACACTAAAAGAAACAACGGCAATACACCATACTGTGGTACAATTGGTCATAAAATCGTCTGAATTATCAGCCAGACATTTTCCGCAGAGTGGACGTCCCTTCCATGTTAAGGCCAGTGACCGCGCCTCGTCTGCGAACTAATAATTTACCCCCGACAGTGAAGAAAAAGTCCGAAACGCAACTCATCAGCAAATGTTTGACAAAAAAGAAAGAAAAAAGTCAAATCGTAATAATCACAACAATAATAAAAGCAAAATGAGAAACTAGAAGAAGAGACTTATACTAACATGCATTTCGCCCGTGTCTAAATGCGAGACAAAGGAAGAGTCGAGAGCGGGAGAACAAATGTAGGCCTGCACCGCTATCAAAAAGGTCAATAAAACTGGGTATTTATCTGACAGCGATAGTCTCATGACGCCAAGAAACAGATCTTCCGAGTCTAGATTTCGTTGTCTGTCAGGATTGAAGATCCCTTTTTCACATCAGCGGCTCCGATGGCTACAGTCGTACAAATCTCCGCTTGGCACGGAGGATTCGGCAATACTAATTCTGATGTTAAACATCGAGAAAAATAAGAAAAATAATATGTATGAACACAAAGTGTGTGTGTGTGTGTGTGTGTGTGTGTGTGTGTGTGTGTGTGTGTGTGTGTGTGTGTGTGTGTGTGTGTGTGTGTGTGTGTGTGTGTGTGTGTGCGCGCGCGCGCGCCTGTGTCAGTGTGAACGAGGAACACTTGTCGAAGCCTAGAAAGAAAAAAATAGGGCAAATCGAGAAAACACGCGGGCGAGAGAGCAAGATGCCTTCGCTTGTGTTTTCTCGGCCGAAATAAGTCAACACTCATATCTGGCCATATTTACAATTTTATGGCTTAAAATTCAATTAAAGTAACCTTGCCCGGGGAAGTGGGGACTAATCTAATTCGGCCTCGTGTCACAAAGGACTTGCAGAGGAAGAAAAATGACATCTTTTTCAACCGTTTTCATTCCGTCTCTCCGCCCTGCGCCGGCCTACGACCCCGCCGCCTCCGCCCGCCCGCCGTCGCCCCCGCCGCTGAGTGAAACTTTCGGGAAGAGAGCGATCGCCTCCGAACACCGAACACTATCTTAACCCAGAGGAAACACAATACAAGAAAAATTACTACTTTTTCGGAGCATTAGAATACATAAACAGGAGAAAGGCCTTACGACGGAGGGCGCGAAAAGAGATACAGCATCTTGCTTTCCCGGATTATTTGATACTTCCCTTCACGTTGACGCAATCTAAAATGCAGCACAGCATCTATTTTCCTACAGAGCGCGGGTTTATATACTGCTCTAATATCATTAATACTCACTTATCTTCTCTTCGCGAGCATCCTTTATTCCACTGGCATAAAACGTCTATTCACTTTGTGCTGGTTTACAGTAATTCCGATCGAAACGAGTGTGTTAACTCTGCGGTCCTGAGGTTTCACGTTTCACTAACATCACTAGGGAGTTTCCAGCGTTTTATTTCTTACGCAGTTACAACATATATATAAATTTTCACCCACGTAATGTAAAATCACCGCAAGATAAAGTTAGAAATTATGCCAACGTGGCTCCAACGTGTGAAGCTAATAAGCGCACACTAATCCCATTTAAGCTGGGAGCCCAACATTGTCAAAACAAAGTTCCTTACGTTCCCACAATAAATCAAGAGTGGCCTTAATCCTCAAAACAACTTGAAAGCTGGAGTGAGTGGAGACAAATTAGCGATAAATCAATGTGGACGTTGCCCTTACCAGTTTAAATGGGGAGCGGCCATCACTGACCGCGCCCTGATTGGTCCAGACAAGTACGTCCTGACCAATGAGCGCTCGGATAAAATTATTTCAACCCTTCACTCCCCATGACAATCTTGTGTCTTCGCGGAATAACGAACGGTCTGCGCTCGCCGGCGGCGCTGCCATCACCCGCAAGAGAAGGGGAATAATGCCATCGAATGCCCCTTTTACGCCGCCCGCAATCAGATCGGCCAAAGCATCCAATCAGAGCGCGCGCCCGGATCGGAGGGACACCGAGCCTAAACCACACTTAATCCTCGCCGGCCCGATGCTTCCCCCGGCATCTTGCGAGCTAATCTCAGCCGCTGGCCGTCACATGCTAATCATAACATGGGCAATAAAATGAAAAATGGTTCCTGTAGTGATGCCGGAGCCTCATTTTACTGCGTCTTTATGCGTTTATATCCTCCAAGACGCCGACGTCTGTGGCCGCGGATCTCGCCCGTCCCCGCCGGCCCCCCCGCCCCCTCCCGCAGC